AAAAAGGAACTTCCTCTGCAGGGGAAGAATTTGACCCAAGGTATAAAACACTTGGAGCCCTGAGAAAACACACAGCCACACATAAATTCAAAGTCAGCTCTGGCTTGCTGGCAGTGGCACCCTTTCAGTTCCTCCAGATGGCTGCTCTCCTGGGCCATGCAGCCTATCTCATGCAGAAGTATTCCCTCGGCCAGTGGCTTATCAGACATTCTTGTTACATTCCAATTCTAACACAGTTCCGCCTCATAATAAGACCTCAGATTTGTGCAAAAATCCATGTAGAAAGCTCTGAGTTTATTATCTTGCTGTGCACAGCAGTGGTATGGGGTCAGCAGGGAGGGTACCATGGATTCAATAAGCATATTTTTCTAACCCCAGTTTGAGACCCATAATATGACAAATGCAGGATATTTATGGAGACAACAAGCCACAACTGGGACTGCCACTTTCAAGAGCCATCATTATAGATTCAAATCAACTAAAACACCAGTATGGGAGAAACTTGGTTGAACAGAAGCACATGTTAAAGAACAAAGGGGTTTTGGCTGACAAACTTAGTGAATCAGTGTGATCGGACCCTTAAAAAGGCTACTGTGATTGTAGACGGTGGGGAAGTACAAAAATAAGCGAATTCTACTCTATGCTGCTAGTTAGAACTCACAGAAACCATTTTATTCTGTTCTACAGAGCAGACAGATATTGAGACACAGAAACAAATAGGAATGTGTTCAGAGAAGACCAACTAAATGAATTGCAAACTAAAGGTGCTCTCATATTTTAAGCTCCTACCATGAGCATAGATCTTCAACCAACTATCCCTAATCCTCACAGTAGCCTGGCTAGATGAGTATTTTCACTCACAGATTTCAGAGAAAGATACAGCAGCTCGGAGCGCTGAGTGTTAGATGGATGTGAAGGGGCTGGGAACTGAACACAGATGTGCCTGGCTCCAAAGCTGGCCTTCTTTCCACTACTCCACACTGCCTCCCTGTTTGAAATAGCTGGGCATGTTTAGTTTGAAGAAAAGAAGCCTTGTGGAGTAAGTAAAAGAAGGAAATGTGTTTGCAGTCCTCAAATATTTGTGGAAGCAGCATTAGACATTTTATTCTGTATGGCTCCAATGAGTGCAAATTATAGAGAAACAGATGTCAATTCAACATAAAGAATTTTCCAACAGTAGGGGCTGTCTAGAGGGATTGGGTGGCTCAGCCATTTTGGGATGTGACAAATTCCCTGTCACTGGGGGCTTGGGAACCCCTTGGCAGGTATGCAAGCTCTGCATGTAAGACTGAATGACCTGCGAGGTCTTTTCCCATCTGGTGTAAAATAAGGCGCCAAGATGAACTGGAACTTGGCCAAGGTGATCCTCTGCTGAGGGGACAAATCCACAAATCAATCTTCCCTAGTTATGTCCCTCAGCCCAGAACTCTTTGTACAACATGCTGCTTCCTGCTGAAGGCAAGACAAATTGAAGACATTATCAATTAAATCACATAAACCTGCCTCTCAACCAAATTAACCAATAAGGCCAGGCATGGTGGCTCACACCTGTAATCCCGGCACTTTGGGAGGCTGAAGTGGGCAGATCACTTGAGGTCAGGAGTTCGAGACCAGCCTGGCCAACATGGTGAAACCCCGTCTCTACCAAAAAACAAAAATTAGCAGTGTGTGGTGGTGTGTACCTGTAGTCGCAGCTACTCGGGAAGGCTAGCTTGAGCCCCGGAGGCAGAAGTTGTAGTGAGCCGAGATGGCACCACCGCATTCCAGTCCTGGCAACAGAGAGATTTTTGTCTCAAAATAATAATAATAATTAACAAATATATTCCTGAAGCGACTGGTGTCTTCCCCTTCATTTTTCGGTAAAAGTCTTTGGCTATAAAAAAAGCTCAAAAGATGAGTGGTAGAGGGAAGCAGTGGAACTGAATAATCTCTTATCCAAATAAGATGACCCTAAATGACAGATGGCTGTTTCTCCAGGTGACAGTATTAGTGGGCACCCCTAAATTATCCTCACACCCCCTCTGCATTACTCCACATATCCCATTATCCCACACCTGGTACTTCTTCACCAGGTACTCCTGGCCCACTGCCACGCGTAGAGGACATCTTATCCACTCAAACAGATAAATAGGCTGAAGGATTCTAATTAACTAATAGAATCTTGCATTTTTACAGCTCTTTACCCTTTCACATTTATTATCTCATTTGTCGCTCACCACAGTCCCCTAAGGAAAACAGCTACTTTCTTTCAGACAGGCAATTTCCTAGCTGCCTGAGGAAGAAAGGCATCCAAGCACACGCACGGTCGCTCTTTCTCGCTTGCTGTTTTTTACCCCGTTACTACTTTCCCAACATTAGATGATGCCTCCAGCCAGGATGAGTCAACCAGGAGCAGGTGCTTCCGTTTTTCTCGATTGCTCTCCTCGCCTCACACCTTCAGCTATCCCCGCTCCCTGCACCCTAGGCCGGCAGCCGCGCCACCACTGCCGCTCTCCGCCCTCGCGACCCCAGTGCCCGGACCCGCACCGCAGCTCCGACCCCGAACAGCCGCCGCCCCACCATTCGGTCACACCCGTGTGCCTGCGACCTTTCCTACCCGCAAGGCTGGCTGTCCCCCAGGTGGGGAGATGCAGCCTCCGAAGAAATAGAGCTCTCAAGCCCAGGAGGGCGGGTGTAGCCAGCTAACGGAATGACTAAAAGCTGCCGCGGGGTCAGGCCTCGGCAAGGGTTGTGTGACTTTTGTGTTCTCGTTGACCCGGAGGTGCTGGGAGACGACGACCAAGGCCCTCGCCCACGTGGCCCGTTTGTGGGCCGGCGGCGGCACACCTCGCGCAGGGACCCACGCGCCCCGCGGAGCCCTTCCTTCGCCAGCACAGCCTCACGCCTCCTGGGCCATGCGCACTTACCTGGCCCCAGGGCTGGTGTGGCTCACACACACGAGCCACACCCCCCAAGGGGGGCAGTCCCACTCCTGAGGCGGGCTGCGAGGGTGCAGGGGGAGGCTCCACTCCTTCCCCGCCCGCCTCTTACCTGATTCAGGTAAGACCTGGGCTACAGGACTCCATGTTTGGGGGAACCAGTTGCGCATGCGCATCCTGAGGCCAGAGGTTCTCGGCCTTCACCCAGTCACCAGGGAGGACCCGGCCGCGAATACGCTGCTCGGGGCTAGAGCGTCGCCAGCTCCGCGCTCAAGACCATCGCCCCCAGCCCAGCATGTGCTGCCACCTTCTCCCTGCCAGGCGTCAGCGCCACCTATTGCAAAGGGTATGAAATGGCATGCCGTGGCTTCCACAATAGCCTACGGCATTGGATAAAGAGAATAAAAATTGTATCTGGCCTGATCTGAGTACTTTTACGTAATAAAAGTGAAGGCCAAAGAAGTGACATTTTCATAGTTATTATTAACTACGTAGAGTTCTTTGGCGAGCCTTCCATATTTCAGCCATTCCCCTAAAGATGCCCAAGTCTCCATCTTCAGCCCTCCCTCTACGCCGCGCTCTAGCTCCATATATTGCCTTTCTGCTCTTCACATGGTGAACACAGACATCTCATACTCACAAGGGCTAGGTGAAATTCTCTACCCTTTCTCCACTCCTCTTTCCCACACTACAAACTGACCCCTGTCCTCAGAACTGATGCTTCCTTCTCTAGTCTGTATCTTGGTTAATGCACTTCCATCTGCCCCTGTCTCCCACACACTGTCACCAACACCTGTGGCACAGTGGAATGAGGCCAAGGGGTTGGGCACCGTTGGATATAAATCCCAGCAAGTTCCCTCCTCCCCATCCTTTTCATCTTACCTCCCAAGGGTCTCTTGAATTCATCTTGGTCCCCTGCATTCCGAATGCCATTTGCCCTTGTTCAGGGCATCATCTGTCACCTGGACTGCGGTCTCCTAATTAGCTTCCAAGTCACCACCATCCCACCTTTCTAGTCCATCACTCACACCCCTGCCAAAGCGATTTTTCTAAAATGCAAATCTGATCACATCTCTCTTCTAAAACTCCTTACTGACACCCTACTGCTGGAGCTAAATTCAAGCTCTTTAGCTCAGCATGCAAAAACTTTAAAATCTGGTCCTTGCCTTGCCTTCCTCTAGAATCTTCTGTCTTACCACCCCCATCTTACCCCCACCGAAACCTCATGATCTGACCAAACATTACTAAATATAGTTCCTCCCAAAACACCATGCGCTTTCCTTTCCCTGTACATGTTCTCCACAACCAGCTATGTCTGTCCCACTTTGGCTACCTAAGAAATTCCTGTTCGTTCTTCAAAAGTGAACATAATTTTCACATCCTCTTGCAAGCCTTCCATGAAATTTTCCTATGGAAGTAATCTCTCCCTCCTCTGCGCTGTCTCTGTCCCTCAGCTGCCTTATTACTTTGTCTTGTGATTATGTTTGCAGGCCTCTCTTCTTTCTCCCACCACAGAGCTGAGCTTCTCAAGGACAAGGACACCATCTTATTCATTCCTATATAACTTTTGCAACCCAACATTCTAATTTTATTTTTATAGACAAGAGATCTCATCTTGTCTCCCAGGTTGGATGCAGCGGTGTGATGATAGCTCGCTGCAGCCTCAAACTCCTAAGCTCAAGAAATCCTCCTGCTCCAGCCTCTGGAGCACCTGGTATTGCAGGCATACACCACCATGCCCAGCTCAACCCAACATTTTGTAATAATGATGATCACAATGAATAACAGCAAACATTGTTAATCACTTTGTGCCAGATGCGGTGCTGAATTTCTTATATGTACATTTTTTACTTCTGATGCTTACCCTGAACTATTATTATCCTAATTTTACTAATGAAAAAACTGAGGTTTTGAAAGATTAAGGAGCTTGCCAGGGTTGCAGAGCTGAAAAATTGTGGAATCAAGATTTAAATCCAGATCTATCTGTTCATGTTTATCTATTGATCAGTTTGATAGAACTAAAATATTTGAAAAACCACTAGTCATTTTTTAAAGTATTAATGCTTACAGAGTTAATTTATCTTTTAAAAGAAAAGCACATAGGTGTTCTACTCTCGTGGATGGAAATAGTGTTCTAATTTAAACTAACGGTATAGAAAGCCAAATAAATACTCTTGATGTCAGGCTAAATAGGAAAACTATCCCACTCTTATCCCATATAATCTGTTCTTATTATATGAATGTTATGAGTATTTTTGCTTAGAGATTGATATATTACAAACCAATGACAGTAGATTTTTCTTAAAAACTCCTTCTGAATAAAAGAGATCTAAATTGAAAGACACCATAGACTGTTTAATGAGTTGTGAGAGATGAAGATGCCAAGATATTGTGAGGGATGTGTGAGGTCTAAATGAGTTAATATGTGTAAAGCACTTGGTGGAGTACCTGGCACACAGGAAGCTCTGTGTTATTGCTGCTGCTGTTCTTATTAAGAACTTCAAGTAGCTTGCAATCCAGTGGTAGAGAGAAACACATAAGCTGACCACAAGCAATGTGATACATGATGTAATTCAGCTATGATCAAAATTCTGTGGGCGTTCCAAGGGGATGGGGTCTGCCAGGGAACAGGGAGAGTGGCAGGGAAGCAAGATGGCACCCAGAGATCCCACAACTGCAGAGTGAGCATGTTGCTAGAACCAGAGCAACACAACCAACCTAACTTTTTCAGAAACACTTTGTTGGCAAATCTTTTACTACTGAAGGCTTTATGTCTTAAAATCCATAATGTTTAAAGTTTCCACAGTTTCAAGCATTCCTTTGCCTCTGGTGGTTAGGGGAACGGGGGCACTGGGCAGAAGAGCAAGGCTTTCACTAAGATGATATGAGAATGGGGAATTGGGGGAAGAGGTCTCTGCAGCTTATGAAGATATCGCCCAGTACTCAAAGAAAGTTCTGGCCTCACTCAGAAGTCCAGGAAAGGCACGTTCCCATTCCCCGGACTCCAGGAGGGAAAGGCACGTTCCCATTACCTGGACTCCAGGAGGGAAAGGCACGTTCCCAATCCCCGGACTCCAGGAGGGAAAGGCACGTTCCCATTCCCCGGACTCCAGGAGGGAAAGGCACGTTCCCATTCCCCAGGCTCTGGTGCCTCTCTAGCAGAGGAGAAACAGTGGAGCACAGACTTGGTGATGTGTACATTGAGCAAGAGAGAGAAGGGGTAGGCAGTGGGGCTGTGGCCCAACTTGGCGGGCACTGCCCAAGAAAGCCCACCTTTTTCCTCCAGCCCCATGCCACGTGTCTAGCACACTAACTCAGTGTTTCCTAAGCCAGATGACATGGAAGGCTGCTTAAAAGTCTACATTCTTTACTACAGGCCATTAACTTTATGAAGGCAAAACATATTTATGTCCCTCCAGTTCTTCAATAAACAGAGTAAAGAAACTTTCTGTGGGTAGTTCACTCTGGACGGGTGAAAAGCGGGCAGCTATTCTGATGTGAATAACTAATAAAACATATAGAGAGAAAAAAAGTTCAGAATTAAACAGAGGAACACTGTTGGTAGAATTAAATAGATATAACTTTGGGGGAAGGCATTTTGGCAACTGCTATCAAACTTGACCCAGCTATTCCACTGTGTCACATTTATCCTATGTGTATACTCCCTGACACATGTCTAAGAACAAACAATGCTGTATTATTTGAAAAAAAAATTCAAACTGGAAACAACGTAAATGTCCATCTACAGAGTGCTAGCGATGAGGTTGTCTAACGTGTAAGTTTCCCAATGTTACATGAAAAAGCAAAGTTCAAAATAGTAGGTATATTGTAACCCTAGTTGTCTAACACATATGTACCATGTATCTAAACATCTATATTTCCATCTGTAATATTGATACAGTTGTATATGTATTCGAAATGCTGGAAAGATCTAGGGCAAATTGGCAGCCCAGGAACAAATTTAGTCTGCAGGAAGATTTGTTTATTTTTTGTTGTTGTTTTTTCACTTAAATTTGAATGCTTTTAGGAGAGGCTCTCATACAATTCCTATTTATTCCTCAGTGTATTCCCTGTTATCTTACACTCTCTGCTTCCCTCAGTTGCTTCTGGCCCTCAGAAGCAAATGAGGAAATAAATGATGGTGGTAGGGGTAGCTAAAGGGATGCTTTAGTCTTTCCTTTCTTACAGTTTCAACACTGTAAGCAAATATTACTTTATAACTTAAGGGAGAGTAGAGTAGTAACTGCCATCATTTCACATCCATGAGAAGAAACAATCGAGGAAAATAAGGATCCTGGAAGAAGAAGCACTGACTGGGAAGCGATTGCTGTAGTCTAGATAAGGAGCAAGGAGACTTGGAACTAGCCAGCAACAGCAAGGATAAATTTGAAGCCCGGGTTTAAAACCTCTTTTTGAATGCCTTCTCAGCCTCTCCAGTTAATAGAATGCACAGGCTCCCTTGTCCCTTCTTTCTTCACCATGGAAAATTGCAGCCTGTGGTTGATCACGTGGGCTGCTGGGCAGGGCTTGATCGCATGGGCTGTTGTGTTCTGTGGGAGTCTAACTGTGCCTGTAGCATACCCAGAGAGTCTCATTCTCCTGTGCCTGCAAATTCTCGCTCTTCACAGTGCTGGCACCAGCTGTAAAGGAAGCAGGAGTTGTCAGCACCAGATGTACTATGAAAATCAAACCCAAATGTCCGAGAGCCAAGATCTACCAGAGAGTACTGTCCTGGCCCACGTTGTCTGCAATGGAGGATCAGAGGTTTCCCCAGTTAACATCAAGATAATATTAAAAACTCTACAGTCTGCAAAGTAAAGGTTTACCTTAAAATAAGAACAAGGAATACTTCCAAGTGAAACATTCTTTTGTTTTTGGCAGCAACTAAAAGTCAGAATGGTGCAAGAGTCCTGGAGGCCGTACTATGCTATTTTATCTACTGGAAATTCTTCAGTCGAATGAAATTATTTATTTAAAAAGGTGTCACTGAATTTAGGCTGGTATTTCAGAAACTTTCTCCTCTGTGGTCTAAACGGTGGAGAATGAAACATGGTACTCAAGTGGGGAGATTGAACCATGAATAAAGTCAGATCCATGAAATACTGCTCTCTTTGGCCTGTTCATTTCTCAAAAAAAGAAAGGAACAAAACCCAGAATTTCTAAAACCATAGATGGGGTACCTTCCCATCTGTAAAACCCACCTACCCCCCATTTCCACTATCTCCAACCCACAGCCTTCTGCTTATCATAGTTGTTCAAGCACTTTAAGGCAAATCCACTGAGTTCACACAAGTATCCCAAATGTCCATCAACTGATGAAGGGATAAAAATAAAAGGTGGCATAGCTGTGCAATGGAATATTATTAATCAATAAAAGAGTTTGAAGGACTAATCTATGCTACAACATGGATGAACTTTGAAAAGTAATAGAAGCCAGTCACAAAAGAACATATATTGTGTGATTTCATTTCTATAAAATGTCCAGAAAAGGAAAATCTATAAAGACAGAAAGTAGATTAGTGGTTGCCTAGGGCTGGAGGAGGGAACAGTAAAGGGGAGTGATTGCTAATGGGTACAGGGTTTTCTAGGGAGGTGATGAAAATATTCCAAAATCGATAGTCACGATGGTTACACAACGCTGTAAATAAACAGAAAGCCATATAATTGTATAAGTAGATGAGTTACCTGACCTGTAAATTATATCTCAATAAAGTTGTTATTAAAAATAAATGAAATAAAAGATGTATACCAAGAAGATATTAATTTAAAAAGCTGAAGTGGCATAATTTTGATGCCACTTCAACAATGATACATTCCTTCTTCTAAAATCTTTTTAGAACAAGGATTGTATCATGAGCAAAGAAAGACTTCACAATGAAAAAGGGATCAATTTTTCAAAACAATAAAACAAAAACAATCCTAAAAGCATGTGCATATGATAGTAAAGCTTCAAAATAACTGAAGCAAAAATGGATGGAAACTTGAGGAGAAATAGACAAATCCACAATTATAACTGGGGATAAACACTCCTTTGTCAGTAACATAAAGAGGAAGTAAACAGAAAATGAGGATACAGAATGCTTGAGCAACATAATAATCAACTTGAACTAATTGCTGTAAAGAAAACTTCACACAACAAAAGTAGAACACATTCTTTTCAACTACACATGAACTATTCACACAAGATAGATCATATTATGCACCATAAAATAGATCTCAACAAATTCTGAATTCATATATGTTCTCTAACCACAATAGAATTAAAATTTATAAATCAGTAACAGAAAAATACATGGAAATCCTCAAATATTTGAAAATTAAACAATAGACTTATATGGCTGGGTATGGTGGTTCGTGCCTATAATCTCAGCACTTTGGGAAGCCAAGATGGGTGGATCACTTGGGCCAGGAGTTTGAGACCAGCCTAGGCAATGTGGCAAGACCTCTTCTCTACAAAAAAATTAAAAAATTAGCCAGGCATGGTGGCACATGCCTGTAGTTCCAGGTATTTGCGTGGCTGAGGTGGGGGGATCGCTCGAGCCTGGGAGGTTAGGGCTGCAGTAAGCTGTGATCACACCACTGCACTCCAGTCTGGGTGACAGAGAGAGACCTTGTTTAAAAAGGAAAAAAAGAAAGGGAGGGGAGGGGAGAGGGCAAGAAAGCGGAAGGGAGAGGAGAGGAGAGGAGAAGAGAGGAGAGGAAAAATCTCCAAGCCTAGATGACTTTACTTTTTAGCTCTTCCAAACATTTCAGGAAATAATGATCTCAAGTTTTCATAAAATCTCCTAGAAATAGAAGAAGAGGAACGTTTCTCAACTTACGAGGCCAGCTTTATTCATTTGCCAAAACCAGACAAAGGCATTACAAGAAGAAAAAACTACACACCAGTATCCTCATGAACATAGATGAAGAAATTATCAGCAAATGTTTGGCAAGTTGAATCTAGCAATATGTAAATGGGTAACATATTATGAACAAATGGTGTTCATCCCAGGGGTCTGGAAATTGTTTTAACACTCAAAAATCAATTAATATAGCTCACCACATTAACATACTGAAAAAGAAAAACAATCTCAATAGATTCAGGAAAACATCTGGCAAAACTCAAACTCCATTCTATGTAAAAACTCTCAGGTGACGGGTATTCAAAAAGCCCAGACTTCAACCCTACACTGCACTTTACCCCCTTTATTTATAATGTTTTTTAATTGAAAACTCTCAGCAAACTAAAAGTAGAGGAAATCTTCCTCAACCTGATAAAGGACATGTATTAATAACCTACAACTAACATGATTCTTGCCACCTTCTACCCTACTGCAGAGAAAATGGCAAGAATTGAATCAGAATAGAATCTTCACAATCCTATTCAACATTGTATTGGAGGCCCTAGCCAATGGAATAGTGCAAGACAAAGAAATAAATGGCATACACATTGGAAAGGGATAAGTAAAATTCCCCCTATTTACATATAACAAGATTGCATATGTTGAAAATCCTAAAGAACCTACGAAGAAGCTACCAGAACCAGTAAGTGAGTTCAGTAAGATTGTAAAACACATAGAACACAAGGTTAATATACAAAATCAATTATATGTCTATTTACTAACAATAGATAATTAGAAATTGTATTTTAAACAATACCATTTATAATAACATCAAAAAATATGAAATACTTATAGATAAATAAAATAAAATGTTACAAGATCTGTAACTGAGATCATTACTGAGAAAAATCAACGAAGATCTAAATAAGTGCAAAGTTATACCATGTTCATGGGTAGGAAGGCTCAATAACTGTTAAAATATCAATTCTTTCCAAATTGATCTATAGATTCAACATAATCACAATGAAAATCTGGACAGGCTTTTTTGCAGAGAATAACAAGCTGGTTCTAAAGTGTATATGAAAATGCAAAGAACTTAGAATAGCCAAGACGAAGAACGAAGTTAAAAGACTTACACGATCTTATTTCAAGACTTCTACAAAGCTATAATAATCATGAAAAAGTGATGTTTGTGTAAGAATGGATGTGTAGAGCAATGTAACAAAATAAAGAGTCTAAAAATAGGCCCAGATATGTATGGTCATTTAATTTTCATCAAGGTTTCCAGGGCAATTCAGTAGCAAAAAGCTAACATTTTCAGAAAATGGAACAATTAGATATCCATATGCAACACACACACACACACACACACACACACACACACGTAGAAAAAATGAAACACCTGAACTGTAACCTCACATCATTTACAAAACTTAAGATGGATCATTGACAACATTAAAAATATATTCGAGATGGATCACAGATCTAAATATTATAAGAGATGTACCTTATAAAAGTTCTAGAAGAAACCTCTTAGTGGGCTTTGGTTAGGCCAAAGTTTCTTAACTAGGGCACAAAAATATAAAATATAATACTTTCTAGTTCACTTTTTCATGCATTTCTATGTTTTATCTTTTTAAAAAGGGACTTCTGTATTAGCCAGGATTCTTTGGGTTGTTAATGTCACAAACCCAACTCAAGCTAACTTAAGAAAAAAAGGATTGGTTTATATGCCTGAAGAGTCTGGGGGTGGATTCAGACATAGGTCAATCCAGGTTCTTTAATGAATTTGTTGCAAATAAAGGTTTCCTCATCCGTTGGCTTTTTCTTCCTCTGGGTTGGCTTCATTCTTAGGCTATCTCTGCCATGTGATGATAACAAAGCAGCCAACGAATTTGGCAAGCCAGAGGAGACACAAGCTCCTGAACTGACTCTTCTTCTTCCTCTTCCTTTTTAAAAAAAAGGAAACCGGGTCCCTCTCTGTAACCCAAGCTGGAGTATAGTGGCATGATCCCAGCTCACTGCAATCTCTAACTCTGGGACTCAAGCAATCATCCTGCCTCAGCCTCCCCAGTAGATAGGACTACAGGCTCATACCACCATGCTCAGATAATGCTGGACTGACTTATGCCCTTCTCTGAACACTAGGACTCTAATGACCAGGCCTGGGTCACAGGACCATCCGTGGAGCTGAGTAGCAACAGGGTGGTATCAGCCCCACACTGAATAATGCTTCCCAAAAAGAGAAAAGAAAAAAGAAGAAAAGAGGGCCTGATAGAATACAGGCATTGACAAGCAAACGCAGCTGATGATTATTACGATGTACTACTTTGAGAATCAGGAAAAAAAATATTATTTTGTTTTTAATCTTTAGAATAGCTGTGCCTAAGGCAACATGCTTTGGTGCTCTTTTAACAGAGCATAACACAGAGAAAGAAAGATGCATTCTTTGGTCCACATATCAGTGTCCTCTGAGATGGACCAGAGAGCAGCTAAGAAGATGCCACCCAAGAGCCAAGAAGTGCTAGAAAGATGCCACTCTTTCCTTGCCAAAACATAACATAATCTGTAGAATGAGGTGGAGGTAAGATTGGGCTTGGAGGGGATTGGTAAAGTCCCTTAAAAGAAGTGACATAGGCGGGTGGATCACGAGGTCAACAGATCGAGACCATCCTGGTCAACATGGTGAAACCCCGTGTCTACTAAAAATACAAAAAATTAGTTGGGCATGGTGGCGCGTGCCTGTAATCCCAGCTACTCAGGAGGCTGAGGCAGGAGAATTGCCTGAACCCTGGAGACGGAGGTTGTGGTGAGCCGAGATCGCGCCATTGCACTCCAGCCTGGGTAACAAGAGCGAAACTCCGTCTCAAAAAAAAAAAAAAAGAAGTGACATAGGAAGTTGGCTACCCATGAGTAAAGGATTTCTGAGCCGAGTTGAAGGTGGGTCAGACTGCATGATGGAACCATTCTGGAGCACGGGGTTGGCTGAAACTCTGGTGAGGTCGTTTTGTGCACCATGAGCACCTGAACTCCTGGATGGAGACATTGCACTTCCGAAGTAGCAGACTCATTTTGCCTGATGGTAAATAATTTTAAACATTTTAATATTAATACAAAAGGAATCGATCACGAAGTAGAATGCAAGCACTGCATGCATTTTTAAGACAAAATACACATTTATTGCTTGCAATGATCACTTCAGACCGCTTTCATTTTCTCCTTCATGTGTTTTCAGTTTTCTCTGCTGTTAGGAATATACTTTGGTGGAAAAAA